GGACAAAATCATGATATAAAGATAGGAAACAGATGTTTTGAAAATGTAGCACAATTCAGATATTTGGGAACAGTGTTAACAGATCGAAACCTGATTCAGAAGGAAATTAAGAGGAGATTGAACTCGGGTAATGCTTGCTACCATTCAGTCCAGAACCCTTTGTCTTCTTGTCTGTTGTCAAAAAGCATAAAAATTAGAATATACAAAACTATAATTTTGCCTGTGGTTCTGTATGGGTGTGATACTTGGTCTCTGACATTAAGGGAGGAACATAGACTGAGGGTGTTTGAGAACAGGGTGTTCAGGAAAATGTTTGGACTGGAGAGAGATTAAATGACAGGAGGACATAATGAGGAGCTTCATAACTTGTACTCTTCTCCAAGTATAATTAGAATGGTCAAGTCAAGGAGGATGAGGTGGGCAGGGTATGTAACATGAATGGGGGAGACGAGAAATGCGTATAGGTTATTGGTGGGAGCGCCAGAAGGAAAGAGACCACTGGGAAGACCAAGGCGTAGGTGGGCGAACAATGTAAGAATGGATCTTAGAGAGATAGGATGGGATGGTATTGACTGGACTGATCTGGCTCAGAATAGGGACCAGTGGAGGGCTCTTGTGAACACGGAAATGAACCTTCGGGTTCCATAAAATGCTGGGAAATTCTTGAGTAGCTGCAGAATTGGCGGCTCCTCCAGAAGGGCTCACCTCCATGAGTAAGTAATTAAGCAAGCCTATGTAGGGTTTCTGCGGTGGGCAGATCTCCCGCCTAAGGAGTTTCGTCAGGTGTCTGAAAGATTAATAGTTTCAGCGTTAAATCTTGGTCATGTTGTATATTTTAAGCGATAGGGTGAAGTTCCTTTGAAGAAACTTACCAATGTCTGAACGATCGATAATTTCTTAATTATATGTATGTTATTTTGTACTGTGTAACCCATATGTAGTTTACGCGATGAGCTGCCATCACATCATATCAGTGCTGCCAAATGTCTGTGAGAACCACAATATCAGAACCAATTCTGAGTTAGTACAGACCTGTCAGGTGTTAGTTCAGCTGCTCCGTTAGCGTTGCCTGTTAGGTACGTAAGCGCTCCGTCGCGTTTGCCGAATCCCCTGGCGGTGGACAGGGCTACGTTCTTGAAGCCCCGTATCGTCCTGGGTTTATTCCGCGTGCTTTGGTATGAAGACCCCGAGGTAGCGCATCCACACAGCGCAAGCAGCACAAGGAATGTTACAGCTATCATGGAATACAAGCTCAGTGATGCTCTCATTGTTGTTGTGTTCCTCTCGCAGACCTGTAACAGCAACACGTAGATCTTTGAAGTCTTCATATCCTCTCTGAATAAATATCTCATTGTCTGGTAGTAACTTCCGCAGGTTAAACACTTCTAAATGTAGCGAGTTTAAATATATAGGGAAAAGAGTAACAGATCAAAAACAAAAGACTCCATGGTCTTAGTCCGCAAGCGAACTATACTGACCGAGCGACCGCCGCCTGTCTGCGAAGTTAGTGCCAGCTTTAGCGGATAGAGGGTGTCACGTGGTCAGCGCAACGAAACCCCACGGCTGTTAATCTCGGTCTTCTAGACCGTACCAAAATTAAATAAATGAAGAACTTAAATTTGGCAAAATTTGAGGGCAATTCTTGCTAATATGCAGTTCAAAATATCCTTTATCTTCCAGTGCCTGCTTGAAAACTTGAAACGGTGCAAGTTGTTCGAAGCGGTAACGATTCTGATTTCTGTATAGGAATTGCTCGCTTCATATTACAGGCATGACGCAGAATATCTTAACAGGGTTTTCATGGTTCTCTCGAGTCTCTCCTTGCGACTGCGTACTACCAAGGACATATTTCCCTGTTCATTATTTACCAATAATCCCACAGTTGAATGGTATACATTCTGCGCTGCTGTCAGCGCCGTTAAACAAACAACAAATAAGCGAAATAAGAGGAGATGATATTGTATTTTCTTTGGACTATTTGTGAGCAAGGTAATGAGCATTTGTGACTACTGATTTTTACGACCGACTGCGCTAAATGTAGTTAGTTCGCTGGATTTGAAAATCTCACGGCGGTGACTATGAAGATTACGGTGTTTTGGGTTGTAACGCCGTGTATTTCGGATAGTGTCCGATACTTCGGAGGAATACATCACCTCCATTTTCAGGGTAGAAGAGTAAGTCAAGCAAGAGACTAGGAGAAGCAGGTAACGAGTAGCAGCAGATGAAGTATATCTTAATGTAGATCTGCCATATTCACGGTTCGTTTAGTGCGTTGAGACGGTTGGCCTAGTGGTAATGCTCTGAACTCATATTCTTGAGGTTCTCGGATCGAATCTCAGCCAGGACACAGTGTATTTTAATTGAAGCGTTTAGAAGTTTCCCCGAATTCAGGGGCCCGGAATATCTCAATCGCTGTAGCGTCTAGAATACGGGATGGACGACCGGTGAGTTGGGGTTCGATTCCGGGCATGGGCAAGATATTTTTCTCTTCACCATAATATCCAGACCGGCTCTGTGACCCACCCAGCTTCCTATACAATGTGAACTGCTGCTTTCCTGGTAGTAAAGCGGCAAGGGCGTGAATGTGATCACTGATGGCCATCTAGTGCCGAGGTCAATAATGGTGGAACTGTTCCTTCACTTCCCCATACGTTTTTGTGGCGCGCCGCTTAATTAAGCGTAGGGATATATTTTAGCTTTAATTTTAACCCATTCACTCATGCACTTGCTTATTCATTCATCCATCCACATATGAATTCACCAGTTTACCAAGTCATTGATTCGCTTACCAAAGGATTCGATTCGTCCACTCTCAAATTCATTCACTCGCGTTCACCCACTTCATTCGCTTGAACATGCTCAGTCACTGACCCATCCACTTAATATCCGTCCCTGCAAATATTTAGCACCGCCGCATACAGAGGGCAGGCGTGGCGGCGGGCCTGATACAAATGGCCATGGAACGAGGAAACCCCGCAGATTTGATTTCCTATGGGACTTGGGGGGGGGGATTTGATATATATCTGTATTTGGTTCGTTGCATACGGCACAGGAGTAATAAACCCATTATGTTACTGAAGTTAATCATGCTTGTTATATTTGATGCGTTCTCTTCTGTAAGAGAATAGAACTGAATGTACAACCTCTTCTATACAGCAGTCGAATTAGAGCCTTCATTGTATCTCGTTCAGTTTACCGAATAATTTCGTCGTCGTCGCAGGCTGTGTGGGATTAGACCGTGCTTCTTGTTCCTAAAACTTCTGGGTGTGGTTGCTCCCTCCGCCCTGCCTTCGGACGCCCATGTTCTCTTCTTCTTACAGACCATTTAATTATTATTATAAACACGTAACTAAGTATATAATCAGAATGAAT